AACATTGTGGAGGTGAGTTGCCGTTATAGGTAGTAATTCAGAGTGTTTACTGTGTTTCTGTGAATAAAATTGGACACTGGCTGCAGTCAAATGGTCAAAAAAATGATCACATGTGTAATTTTCTAATCACTTTTCCTTAACTTCAATGAAACCTGTTACAAAAGGATGATTTATAAGGACTTCAAAGCGAGCCACAGTGCTCAGACTGCTCACACACTAAACTGGCAGCAGATGCTTTGGTGTTTGTGTCTCCAGCGATGCAAAAATCTCGTCTTAGTTATTTTGTCCCATGTGTTCTGTTTCAGGAAGAGTATAAATACAGACTTCCTCACCAACCTTTGTCTAAAGCTTTCAGTATCTCTGAAGTAACAGTAATAACCCTCAAAGCTGGCAACACAGCAATGCACAAAGAGAGAACATATCCATGCAAACTGAGGTAGACTACAACCTTCCCTGTGGCTGTTTTATTTGACCTAATTACATATAATTGTTGCAAATTAGGCATGGGTATTAGCTGCTTACCTTTCCTGAGGAAAACTGACTATTTGACTGCAACCTGTGTGTTTTTCTTTTAGGACTTAAATGTGTTCAAAGTGATGTGATGGGGGGGAGAGTCAGACTAAAGGTGAAGCTTCTGTGAGCCGTGCTAATGCTGGGTTAAAACAAATGACTGTTGAATGTAACTCTAAACCGTTGATGTGGTCAGTAGTTTAATGTTGACTGGGTTTACAGTAATAATGTGTACAGAGTTACTGATTATTAGAGATAATCACAGGTTTTAATCTGCACGCTGCAGTGTTGTTGTTCCTCAGCTGCTGCTCAATCGCACAGGAAACGGCGTATAGATGTGAAAGTTCAGAGCGCATGTTTCTTCAGAGGTCACTGATCGATCTGCATTTTTGGTTTTAGGAATATGAAATGATGTAAAAGAACTCAGGAGCACGCTACGTCCCAGTTGTTGAAAGAAAAGCACTTTTGTTTTAATCTGAGATTAAAGCAAAATGGTCAGAAATCCTTCAGGACAGCATTTTACAGGTACATTTTCAGCAGTCATCACTTGAGTTTTCCACATACAGTGTGTTGCCTAATGCAAAGTTAACAGATCATCATACAATGGCGTGTACTACTTTATTAAAAGGTGCACGTAAGTCCGACTGGGCTGGTTCTCAAACTACAAACGCTGTATTTTCACATGTACATGTCTTCTCTCTCTTTTTCATTCTAATAATATCCAGTTACTGAAGCTCAGGGAAGGGAACAGTACATCGTGATGTATGAAGCCATTCGTTTCCCTTCTTTAAATAGCCTCCATTTATAACAACAAAAAGACGTCATTAAAATCAAAAGCTGTGTGCTGCTCCCACCACAAACCAAACGTTTCACAGACCCTGAACTGGCAGCGTTGTTAAATGTGCCCATATCGTGCTGCTTTGTGGAAGTAGGCAGACTGTACGTGTACATATGCGTCCTCTTGCTTAGATCCAGTTTGCACGGCTCTGTGATGGGAGCAGTACATCCCGGTGTATGAAATCTTCAGTTTGCCTCTATTTCATACAACAAAAACACACTTGATGCCTTTTAGAGGGAAGTTAACGTCCTCAAAATTGAAAGCCGGTGCTCCTGATGCTAAACTTCAAATCCGCTGTTGCTAAAGGGGATTTTTTTTTGTTGTATTAACAGCTTTTATCAGATTTGGACATTTTGCTTTTTCTTAAACCAAACGGGACACAAAACAAGAATCATTCAAAATCGTGCAAAGCGAGGCAGCAGCAGGGTTCATGTCTGCTACGTTTGTCACGTTTAGGAACGTGTTAGTGACCTGTGGAGAAACATGCATGTTTCTGGTCCACATAGATGCAA